ACCTGCGAGCCCCAGCCCACCGCGCTCCCCGCCCCGCCGGAGCCGCGCGGCCTGGCAGGCAGGCGCGGAGCGACCACCCGGAGCAGAGCCGGGGCATGGGGAGGGGCCGGGGATGCAGAACTGCACGGAGAAATGAGACGTCCTTCGGGGAGAACACTGCGTGTGCCAATAGGTACCGAAACCGAACTTTGCCAGGAGCGGGTCTGGAGGATCCCGGTTCTCAGGCGGTCGGGACGGCGCGCAATCTCGGGGTCTGCAGGCGCAGCCGCAGCCAGGCCGACCGGGGGAGGCAGGGTGCGGATGCGGCCCCATTCCCCTCTTGCTTGATTGCCCAAAGGAAGCTGAGGTAGCGGCTTACGAGTTGCCCTTGTCTCCCTTTAGGGCATTGCTCGGCGCCTGCCTCACCTAGTCCCTCTCTTTACGCGGGGGCAGAGAACAGGAGAGGGCGTCCTCGCCTCCAGACGCAGCCGAGCAACGCGCTCAGGCACCTCGCGTCCCCGGCCTGGCGGGCTGGGTCGTCTCCTCGTGCGTTTTCCTGAGCCTTTAGCTCAGCAAGGTGCCAGCCACGGTGAAAAGCGGCGGCAGCGTTCATCTGTCCACTTGAAGTGCCACGTACACCCGAGACGAAAGGTTGCCATGAGACCTCGGGTGCTCTGGGGGCGCCCCCGGGAGCTCCAGCCTCCAGGTCCAGCAAGGTTCAGCGCAATCCCAGGCTCCTCCGCCCTTCCAGCCCCGCGGCCAGAGGAAGCCTCAAGTGAGGTGGAAGAACCAGAAACAGCTGCACTCCGCACGTTTCGTCAGTGGGAGGGTCAATCCCTGTATCCATTTTGGGATGTTTTTCTAGGAAGACATGCTACCTTTGTAAGATCCTCTAGATTTATTCCACCAAGATTTACTAAAGAAGGAACTCGTGTGACACCAAGCTGAGTCCCAATTGTCAAGACCTTAAATTTACACATGGAAGTTAAGAGACAAGAGCTGTAAAACAGGAATATCCACTTTAGTTTTAATTAACAATTCAAGGGCCACGTCCAGCACTCGGGAGGCTGAGGCAGGAGGATCACTGAGTTTGAGGCCGGCCTGGAATACATAAGCCAGTTCAAGGCAACCTGAACTACATATCAAGACCCTGTCTCAAAGAAGCCCTCCCCCAGCACTCCTCCCCCGCAGCAAGAATTCAAGCCCGGCCTGATGGTACACACCTGTAATCTCAGCACTCTGGGAGGCTGAGGAGAGGGCATTGCAAGTTCAAGCCAGCCTGAGCAACTTCGAGTCTGCCTCCCGATAAAAAAGGGCTAGCGATGAAGCTGAGTGTGAAGGCCCTGCTTTACCCCCCAGAACCGGGTGTGTGCAGGGGTTCAGTGTAGCTTAGCTCATCCAGCAAACTCCGGTCAGGAAAGATCACCTATGTAAATCCCCATAAGGGCTGCTAACCCGCTCCTACCACTGTGAACTTTAAACAAGCCAAACGAGATCTATGCCACGAATAAGCAACTGAGCTGCTCATTACTCTCAAACTCCAGGGTCTCTCAAACCCAGCACACGCAGGGACATAGCTCAGTGGCATAAGCGCCTGCCTGGCAAACTCAAGGTCCTGAGTTCGATTCCCAGTACAAAAAACAAAACAAAACACAAACAAACCCAGCAGAGCTGGGAGTTCACAGCAGTTGTGAACGAAAAATAAGATGAGCTTATCTAGCTGCAGAGGGGGCAGAACAGCTGCCTTATTAGAAAGCACAGGGAGATCCAGGTTGAAATAATAGTGGTCACTTCATGGCTTAGATCTTGGTCTGCTAGTCTGCTTTTCTTCAGGGAAAAAAAAAAGGGAGCTGAAAGGCAAATTTGATTTTCTTTTTTTTTGTTTGTTTGTTTTTTCCGGTACTGGGAATTGAACTCACGACTCACGCTTGCCAGGCAGGCGCTGTGCCGGTGAGCTAAATCCCCGGCCCTGCAAATTTGAGTTAAGTCATGAATTTATCTTATATTTGAAGGGCAAATTACAACAGATTCCTTTGTGGTATATTACAAATAAGTCATCCCAATCTCCACACACACACATACACACACAGAGAGGCACTCAGAGTGTAGTGCTATAAATAAAACACTGCACTGGTTTTTCTTTAGGATAGATGTTTTTAAAAAATATATCCAAGGGCTGGGGATTTAGCTCAGCGGCACAGGGCCTGCCTGGCAAGTGCGAAGTCATGAGTTCAATTCCCGGTACCAAAAAATAAAAAAGCCGGGGATGTAGCTCAGCGGCATAAGCGCTTGCCTGGCAAGCCTGAGGTCACAAGTTCGATTCCCAGTATCAAAAAAAAAAAAAAAAAAAAAAATATCCAGTACCTCCTGCATGAAAGAAACCTGTCGTCCCTGAACGCACATGACAGTTAAGACTGCTGAAGCTATTCCCCGTATCATGTCTACTGTTAGTAGCTCTGCTTTATATAATAGGAATCGAGCTACACATACATCTCCCCACCCTGACAAGAAACTACCCCTACAGTTTATCTTGCTAGCATCACTACCTAGAGTTTGCCAATGAAATAGCTTCTGTGTGCATCTGAACAATTGGTCATATGATTTCTCCCATCCTGGTCCCTGTCCACCCATAGTACAGGCCTGTAGCCACCAATAATGGCCCCAAACTCCTTGTTTCTGGCTCTTACATTGCAGACTTTGGGAGACTAAGGCCTCCGACTCCTTGCTCTGACACACCATGAAGTTAACCAGCGGCTCCGGTTCTCCGTGGTTTGATCGGAGCCGGCACAAACCCAGCAGTAACTCGGCTGGCAGCTCACCACTGCTGCTGTCACTTGTGAATTCAGAGTGTACGTACAGTGTCGCAGTGGCAGCCTCAGAGGTACGGAGCGGAGAGGGTGCAGCCTGTTTATCAGCAATGAGTTCTCTCGGGGTGGGAACTTGCTTGGCTATACAGCTCGGCACGCACACACACACACACACACACACACACACACACACACACACACGCACACACACACAAAACCCTAATCCGGGCAGGAAGCGCTAACAGCCCAGAGGAGGGCACAAACGGACACAGGGAGCCAGTGCCACACAGGGACTCCTAGCCCCAAGGCAAAGACACTGACACTTTCTGGTGACACTGACAGGCACTCCAAGCACTAATGCTCCTGTGGGTCTCGGAACACGAGCCTCGCGGCAGTTACTCTGCTATTCATGCTGGGTCACTGGGAAGAGCATATGCAAGCTTGGATGTGTGACACATTTTCCTGGTCAAAGACTGAAGAATCAATTCCACAAAACCTGTGCCACCGGGATCGTTCCACAGCCTTCCTAACCCTCTGTTTCTTCCTCCTCTCCTTCCACCTTTGTCCACCCTTCCAGATCGCGCCCTTTCACGCCTTCTCAGAGGAGCTGAGGAGGCCGTTCAAGGGAAAGAGCAGAGGCTTTGGGGCCAGACAGCCTGGCAAGTTCATCCCGCAGGCACTGGCGGTCATCTGCCTTTCTGTAAATTGGGAGTACGAACCTAACTGAAAGATCTGCTTTATTGCAATTTCTGTCCATACTAAACATCAGCTCTCACTTTGAAGCCAGAGGTCACCCTCTGAGCAGTACCATTACTATGAACTTACCCTATCTTTCGCACAAGACGCAGACACATATGGTACTTATCTTCTAAAGTGTATTCACTGCTACATTGTTTTGTTTTTTTTGAGACGAAGTCTCCCCATATAACTCACGCTGACCTCCAACTCAAGAGTCTCCTGCCTCAGCTTCCAAGTGCTACGATTACAGGCATGCACTACCATGCCTGACTTATACACTGCTGCATTATTTATAATAACAGAAACTATGAAATAATTGTAAGTGCCTGCCAGCTGAGGATAGAGGACTGTTTTGTAAGACACAGCCATAAGAAGCGAGGCAGATGTTAAACTGCTGAGGAAGTAGGCTCTCTAAGACATACTGCTAAGTAGAAAAAGCAAGTTGTACCAAGAGTTTTACTGAAGTCATGTTTTGTGGTCCATTCATCCCAAGCGACAACGAATAAAAACAATTTGGATTACTTATCGTATCGGGGCCTTGCTTATAACCCCTGGCATACAAAGTACCATTTACTCTCTGCAATTGTGTTCACGATCTCTACCAGTACTGACCCTGTAGACAGGAAGCATATGTTAGTTAGGATGATCTTTGTTTTGAGACAGGGTCTCGCTGTATATATAGCTCAGCTGCCCTTGAACCATGTAGCCCAGGCTGGCTTCAAACTCACAGCGATCCTCCTGCCTCAGCCTCCCAAGTGCTGGAATTACAGGCGTGCACCACCACACCGGGCTTTAGTTACGATGATCTTAAGTCACCATGCCTGACAAGTCTGCTTCATTCCTCCCATTGTTTACAAACTCAATTCTCAGCAAGTCCCGCTCCAGATGACGTTTTACAGGCTATTTTAAAAACCTGTCAGAAACAATGGACTGTCTGCAAACAGACCCGCAGGGTACCTGGGAACAGACACTACTGAGCGCTCACAGCGTACCAGGCCCTGTACAAACTCCTCTGCGCTGCTGCCCACATGGAGGCACTGGCAGGGCCCGTCCCCCGGCGCCCAGTGGGGGCAGAGGCGGGGCGGAGGGTGCTCCCTGCACGCCACGCACAGAACTGCCGTCACTTCTCAGTACTGCAAGACTGACCGGGTCGTAACACTGACGGGAGCCCGGGGGCCTACACAGTCAAATGGGGGCCCTGGAAGAGCCAAGACAGCTCTCCCGCAGCAGTGCTCAGCACGGACGGCAGCAGCGATGGGACGTTTGTTGGGAGGGCCCTCGGCAGAGAGACGAGGGGGACACTGAGGGGAGAGGGAGAGAGAACCTGGACGGGAGCGGAACAGCAGGAAAAGGGGGGCTATTTTAGGAAAAACCACAAACATTCTGGAGGGAGGGGTAAAGCCCGGCACCTGCTAGTGCTATGCACATCCTTCTCTTGGACTTTCTGTTTTTGTTTTTGTACTGGGAATTGAACTCATGACCTCAGGCTTGCCAGGCAAGCACTTATGCCACTGAGTTACATCCCCGGCCCTCTTCTCTCGGACTTTAAGAATATAGAAATGAGAGTTCTGAGGAGGATCAGCACAAATCTCGTATATGCAGTACTTCCGAGGAGGGCTGTGCCAGCAGTATAGAAAAATACACACAATAAATAGGCAAGTCCGCCCCCGCATCCCCCCTTCCTCGGCCCCCACCCCCTCAGGTCTCCTAAATCATGTGTCCCCCAGCAACACCCAAGCCCGCACGTTTCTGCCTTTAAACACATCATGACGTATGCAGCGCAAGTTGCCTCTAAGCCTCAGGCTGCCCAACACATGGGCGCACGCAGGACGGCAGCGTAGCACAGCACAGCCTGTCTGTAACACAACTGGTCCTGCAACGCCAGGATAGCAAAATTATTTCCTTTTATTCTGTGGAAGTTCGCTAAAGTAAATAGACATCTGCATGATTTATGTGAACTTATCCATTATCATCAGAGCCAAGACCACAGGAGGGCTTCCGGGGAAAGCCCCTCTACTGATTTCTGCAGGTATGTGCGGGGCCGGGGCGAGGTGCGGCTCCGCTGAGCTTCCGTGTCCTAGCCCACGGTGGGACTCAGCGGCGTCTGGCCAAAGCAGCTTCCTCAAGAGGGCTGATCTGGAAAGAAAAGCAAAGAAGGAAATGTTTAAGCACAGAAGTGTTCCTTCCTCCTCTCCAAACTGCATCCCTCTCCGCTCACTCTGCCGAAGCTGCTAACCTTTAAATTCTTTCCCAGCACAGGTCCAAAAATGGGCTTGACAACATCTTGCAGCATTTAGCCAAAGGCTGCAGGGCTGCTGTTCCAGATCAGAGCAGGCCTGACCCTCAGCAGTGATCCAGGACTACGATTCCAGACCACAGACGCCCTCCTGAAGAACACTGTACCCCCGGCATCGAGCCCCAGGTCTCTTCCCACCACCTCACCGTGGCTCTAAGGTTACAACACTCTGCCCTCACCCGGGCCTTCACTCACAGGGCGCAGGGGCTCTGGTTCCGTACGGCCGCGTGGGAGCCTTGTCTCTCCTGTCTTCCTGGTTTAATCAGCCCCCGCCCTGTTGTGTGTTGGACTTGTAATTCTCAGATATCTGCACAGCTGTCAGATCCCCTTCGTTTCTGTCCGAGTTAGGACTCAGCTTCCTAAGACCCGCACCTTGCTTATTCTTGACGAGTGTCCTTATGCTGCTACAGTACATTGCTAAACAACCTCCTAGGAGAGGTGTGTGGGGGGAGGACAAACCTTTGACGCTTGAGAACACGCAACAGGCTTGGCTGGGAACAGACCCCAGGTTGAAGGTTACCTCTCCTGAACGTGCAGGACATTTTCCATTGTCCAGACCCTCTTCCTGCTGAGCAGATGGCTGTGCGTCCCAACTCTCACTTTTGCACAGGCAAGCCACTTTTTTCTCTTCTTTGGAGAAGGATGTTTAGAATTTTCATGTTCACTGTTCTTGAAATTTCACTTGAATGTGTCAAAGGAGGACGCATTCACTGTGGTGGGTATTTGCGGCCCTTTCACACTCGTGACCTCTAGATCGGTCCTATTACCTTGTCTTTTCTGTCTTCTGGGACATTTACTCAACTCTTGCCTTAGTAACTGTTAAATAACTGTCCGTGCAGACCTCCAGCTGCTCTGGCCTCCTGTGTGCCACTGGTTCTGAGCCCCAAGTTCTGCAGGAGACCCCTCCCTCCCCCGCTCCACGGACCAGCCGACAGCAGCTTTCTCCTCTGCACTGCTTGTCTTCCAAAGACGTGGTGAAAGAGAAGTATTTCACTCACTCACCACTAACTCTCTCCCCTTAGTGAAGTCAGAAATGTTTTGAGAGCATTAGAATCTGAATTTTTGTAGCTACTGTTGGAGCCCTATAATTCATAAACATACTACAGAAGGAAAAAAGCAAAACTCTTTCCCGAAACAACGTACCTGTTTAAAACAGTCCATTCACCTGTTCGGTCTCAGGGTCTAAATCAATATCATAAAAGCAGGGCCGGGTAGGGAGTCCGGGCATGGTGCTCATCTAGGATGTAAAACAGCATTAAAAATGAATTCAGGGGCTGGGGATACAGCTCAGCAGCACAAGTGCCTGCCTGGCAAGCACAAGATCCCGAGTTCGATTCCCAGTAACCTCCCCCCACAAAAAATGAATTTAGAAGGTAGGCATGGTGGTGCACACTGATAATCCCAGCACTTGGGAGGCTGAGGCAGGAAGATCACCATAAGTTTGAGACCAACCTGGGCTACACAGTTCAAGTATACTAGATAGCAAGACCTTAGCTCAAAAACAGAACAAAACAAAAACCCACACACAAGCAACATAAAAATAAAGAGTGATCTTTCACCTACCTTCCCTTTTGTCTAAGAGAGACTATCACTTTGTAGTTATATCAAAAAAGTGGGAGCATTTCTTGTTCTGTATTAAAAATCCAGTCACATATCCTATTATGAACTCAAGGAAAACCCTCAGGTCCCACATACCAACGCCAGGCGTCACGCTTGCCTTCTTTGTCAATGTCACAAGGAGTGGAGGGGCGGGAGGCCGAGGTGCCCATGCACTTTTGCTTTAGCAATGTAACACTGCAAATTTGCATCCTTCAGCTTGGCCCAAGACATTTCTAGATATAATTTAGACAGTTCCACAACCACCACTCTTACTGGGCCAGTGGGGCCTTCTAAAACTAAACTTGTGTGCCTTACAAACAAACTGTATTTGTACTTGCTTCTTTTCGGAAGACTTCGCTTTGACAAGTACCTGCAAATTCATATGACTTGTAAATGAAAACTTACACATTTTTACCTGTAATAATGCCCTATATAATGAATACACACAAATTCCAAACCAGACCTATACAGGAGAACAGCTTCAGCTGAACTTCTAAAACTTAACTATAAAAATGTCATTAAAAAAAGATGAGTCACCTGTAACACAAAACACTGGCACATCAGAAAACCTAACTCTGACCTCGAGGGACCTGTCACTACTCTCGAAAAGTGCTGCCGGGGTGGGCCAACTGGTTTCTATTCCTGTATTTTGTAAGAGATAAGGAAGGGCTGGGCGTGGGGACAGATGGGAGCGGAAGGCACTGGCCTTCAGACCTAGCAAACGGATCATACAGGCGAAAGGCATTCGCCTGGCGATGCGGGCATGCAGTGTGCTCGCTGGCAGAAAACTGAGGCTGGCTCCCGAAACGGCCGAGCGAAGGGTTCTGCAGTATTTTTACTCTTTCCCAAAGAGGATTCCCCCCAGTCCCCACCACTGGTTATTTATAGAAAAGAAGAAAGAAGAAAAGATGCACGTGCATGTGCGTACCCCCCATACTGAATAAAACTCCAAGAAGCAGCCAGAATTTTTTGAATTACTACAGCAGTACTCAATCCCCTGCCCCTGCAGAGGCCGCACAGCAACTAGGCAGTGTTAAAGTATTAAGAAGGACTGAGCCACTGGATTATGTGTGGAAAAGTGGCGGCCCTGCTTGAAGTCGAAGGCCTCTGGCGAGTACCCCGTTCTCAGAGAGCACCTCCAGCCGGAGAGGCCGTCTCTGTGAGCCACAGGCCGGGGTGCCCAGCGTGTCCCCTTCCGGCTCTGCGTCCACCTCCGCGGTTACCCTCGGCACCCGAACGTGGAAGATGGCACCAGAGCGCACTTTCCACTGGGCGCGGCTGACAATTCCTCCCGAAGGAACGTGTCTCCAGTAGTCGAGGGAGTGGACAGGTGGTTTAATATTCCTACCAAAGGGGAATATCTACAAATTCCAGACCAACTGACATCACAACGAGGCCGCGCCTCCTGCTCTCCGAGTGGCCTGGGGCACTGTGTCCATGCTGACATCGTCCATGCTGAGACGAGGCGCGGCAGCAGGCTCAGGCCTTCCACAGCCAGCAGCGCGGAAAGCCGAGTCGTCACGCACTTCCAACTGCACGACGCCCCCTCCCACTTTTCTTCCTTGGGGCTCTGGTGCTTGGACCCAGAGCCTTCGCCCTGAATCCTTCGCCCTTTCCCTGTGCTTACTTAGTTGCGTGTGTCAATGGTGTGTCGCTCGTGAGTGAAATCTGTAGATACAGCACAGTGAGTAGATCTACGGGGAAACTGGGCACAAGAGCCGCGTTAACCTTGGGACAGTGTGAATCCTGACAGTGATTAGTAACTTTCCTCCTAATGTGCGCAAAACCTGCGAGAAAGCCCTGGGTGACGCACTCACCCTGAACTGTAAAGAAGCAAGCATGCCTTTCATGTACGCATGGTTCACCTTCATTTTAACGGGAAAATCCTACCCTGAGAAAGTGAACTCCCGAGTTTCAGGTTTAAGCTCTAAGCCTGTAACATGCTGGACCTGGACATTAGAACCTCCGTCCGCAGCCTGTAGGGCCACTAAGAGGATTGAGCTATATCCAGAGCTGGTTCTTGGAACCCAGTGAATTCCAAAATCTGTGGCTGCTCAAGCCCCTTTAAGATGGTATAATATTTGTATATAACCTGTGCACATCCACCTGTGTGCTTTAAATTACCTCTAAATAATCTGCAATATCTAGTACAACATACATGTGACGTGAGCAGTTGTGTTATTTAGGGAATAAAGATAAGGAAAAGTGGGCTAGGGATCCAGCTCAGCGGCAAAGCGCCTGCTTGGCAAGTGTGAGGTTGTGATTCCCGGTAAAAAAAAAAAAAAAAAAAAAAAAAAAAAAAAAAAAAAGAAGGAAAACTACAAGCTCAAGACAAACAAAGACTACTTCTCTAAATGTTTTCCATCCACAGACGGCTGATTCTGTGGATGCAAACCCCAAAGGTACGGAGGGCTGACGGGACACAGGGACTCATCCAGCCGTCAGTGGTGCCCACCCTAGATTCAACCAAGAGCAAGCTAGCCCTCGGGAACAGAACGTTTTCCTCAGACGTACTCACTGCAGTACACTTGAGCTGACACCAGTGTGGTCCACAGCAAGAGCAGTAATCATAATAAGCCTAATCCAACTTGCCCTCAGCATGGTCCCTGGTAACGTGGCACCTGTGAGGCAGCGCCAGCAGCCCATGTCAGAGGGGACACGCAGAAGGGAGGCTCTTCTCCTGCAGCCTCACTTACCGTTCCTACCAGCGGGTACAGAAAACCTGCACCAACGCTGGCACGGATGTCCCGAATGGGCAGGACGAAGCCTGTGGGCACACCTTTCCGCTCCGGGTCATGAGACAAGGACAAGTGTGTTTTGGCCATGCAGATGGGGAGATTCCCAAAGCCCTGGGGGGAAAGGGAATGGGGAGGACACGTGAAAAGCTGAGGATGC